CCCCAAAACCCCAAAACCCCAAAACCCCAAAGCTATTATATAATATTGAATTTATCACATGGAGCCTGATGGACTTGAAGAATGGGAACGAGGAGATCATAGATTTAAATTCAGCGAAAACATTCCGATAGCTTACCTCTGTTTCTTTACTGGATTTCAGGTGATGTTCTTACTAGGCCTAGCTTACTCGATAAAAAGACTGTACTCAGAATACAGACAAGAGTACAGGGATAGGTTCAAGATAATCCAAATGAGCTTTATCATCAGCTACCTTTTTACCAAAAATGCTTATAACATCTTTGTACTCTTCAGGGCACGAAGCACAGAGTTCTTCCATTTGCCAATTTTGGCTCTGACAAGTTTTTTCTTTTACTATTTTGAAGTTATAAATGACACCTGCTGGTTGTCCTTTATAATTCATTTAAAATACATGAATAACAGGCTATGCGAAGAAAGTATCTCGAAAGTGATAAGACGGGAAAAAGTTATCTCATTCTGAGTGTCCTTTGTAGCTATTCTATGTCTCCTCACCTGGCTTGGGATAATCGTTGCTTCTTTTGTATACGGTTGATATCGTGCAGAATGTTATGTGTTGAAGGGAGACCCTGAATTTAAAAGCAACGAGTGTGATCACCTACATACAGCTAGTCGGGTGTATACCATAGTCTTATTCGGAATCGGAGCAGCAGCTGCGATCTTGAAGATATTCATCGGCTACATAATGCTTTCCACTATGAAAAAGACTTTATACATACCCTACATTAGAATCAGGACAGGTGTGGCCTTCACAGTATTAGCAACATTGGTCGTAATTTCTTTAAATGCTGCTTATAATTATAGCAACCAGTTTTCGTATAGCATCTGGTTAGTTTTCCTATTATCAATGAAAAATGTATCTAATTCGCAATTAGCGTTCACTACTATAACTACATTCTGTAATTCATTCTTAGAAGTGCTCCTGATGATATATACTGCGGAGAAAATAGATTTTAAAAACTACATTATGATTCTTTTGGAAGGCCGAATGAAGTTTACACTAGCTCCAAGAATCTCTACTTTCCTCAAGCTCAATAGAGTAAGATTTTGAATCGACCAGAAAGTACCCCTGCTGACGGAAGATGAGCAAAGTGACTTATCAAGATCAAACCTAACATTTAAAAGAGCTCTAGAGGAGGAAGATACTTCACTCACAAACTTCTTTGAAAGGACTCCTGAAGAGAACAGAGCGATTAAGACTCAACTTAGCTCTAACCTTAGGGAGAGGCTTAATACTGCATCTAGTAAGGCTAGTAAGGCTTCTTGAGGGCAGGAACATTCTTGTACCTCAATCATGAGCAAATCTATTGAGCCTGTAATTTAATGATATCCAATGCTAAAATTCACAATCCAATTTGACGCAATTGCTTACACTCATTTCTAAACTGATTTGCACTATTTTGGCTAAAAACTAACCTTTTCTGAGAGACAATTTAGGACCCATGTGCTAGAGTTTAATCCGATAAATAATTTAGAAAGTTATCCCCTGAATCGACTAGTTGGAGCACTTAGCAAACAGACCTAATGACTTACAGGCTTTGGAGCTTCGATGTCTTGGTTGATGAATTTGTTATAAAAGTTCGTACTAATTTGAGACTCCACATATCCCTTCGCAGAGTTGATATTTTAGTTTTTAGTACCTATACTCAGCAATAGATTCTGTGCTGTTTGGAATTTGTAGAGATGAGGACACTTTCACTTCGATAGTTGATTTCAGGTAGCCTCTCTTTGTAACTTCTCAGATAAGATAGCTACTCGTATTTAAAATAACTCTGATTCCATCTATTTCTTTGTAATATTTTCCACACCTACACCACATCATTAAAGAATCCACTTGTTAAAAATTTGCTTAATAAGTTTTCTTTATTTTTATTCATTCTTGAGTCTGAATAAGATCTCGAATTTCAGAAGGAAAGATATCATAAGTGCAGAACTCAAGCTTATCAGCGGATTGGTATAATATATTTAGGTTAATATTCCACATCCAATTCTCTTAGAGCCTAAATGGCTTAAAATAAGCTTGTAAAGAAAGTAAGAATTCTCCTTCTAGCGAGTCCCTTACCTAAAATCAATATAACTATTCTAAACCTCTTGGTTGACTAGGACTATTCAGTCTCTTACCTATCTTTAAAAATGAGATATTCTCAAATGCTTTAGATAAGATAAATACTACCTGCCATATATTCTTCCTTGAAGGGACTTAAGGCACATCCCAGAGAGTATACTGGAGTAAGGCATACAATAAGTGCTGCCACTAAAATAGTTGTTTTCATGCTCAATTCGATCACCTAAAATAGGGGTTTTGGGGTTTTGGGGTTTTGGGGTTTTGGGGTTTTGGGG